CAATTTTAAAAGAATTTTTAAAATCAAAACCTAAAATATGGAATAAAAGAGCTTCTGTCATATAACAAACTTAAAAATCGTAACGATTCTGCCGAGAGGAACTTAAAATTGATGGAAGAGTTCAATGATAATATTACAAAAAACGAAACCCAAAAGTGGTTTTTATTAATCCTTTTATTGCCAGAAGTTTTTCATTTGTTGTTGCCACACAAATTTGAATTTTACTTTATTGTTAAAATAAACATTTAGGTCGGTATATCTACGACAAAATATGAAATTTTACGTTTTTCCATTAAAATTGTTGAGCTTTAATCGCCACGTGTCAATTATGTTCGATCGATTTCAAACTTTACCGCGGACGCTATTTTGTAGATGCATTGGAAAACAAATTGCCGGTGACGCTCTTCAAAATTTGACAAAAAATATTATTTTTATGTAATTAACAATCGCCATAATAGGTATTCAAAGATACTTACTCTATATTATAAAGGCACAGCCGACGTATTGTTTTGACTTTACCGGAGATGGCTCACCAACGTCAACAAAACTCGATAGGTGGTAATAAAATAAGTAACCAACTGTTTTACAGTGGAATAATCATACGAATATGAAGAAATGATATTATACGGTTTAAAGATCTACGAGTAACAACAATTTTAATTACTGTAAATCGACATAGCTGGTATTAAAAATGTAGGTACTAATTAACGGAAGAAGGCTGGCTGACATTGATATTATATTGAGTAAATGAGAAAAATTATCATATACCTACCATTAAATTATTGCAGTGTGCAAATAAATTACGAAGAAGATAATACAAATGAGAAGATTTGGTTAAATCAACAAAAGGTTTTCTTATTTTTCAAAATGTTAAGAATAAAATATACTAATTGAGATTCTACACAATACGTACACAATATTAATTTTATTCAGATTAATAAGTTAATATTGTGTACTTACTAATAAGTACCGAGGTAATTAAAAATCGCATGCACCAGTGAACAAAAATTTTTCAAAAATCAATGCGTAAGTATGAAAGGTTTGATATAAAATTCACGTAAATACTAATTAAATAAATTTCATAGATTATGGACTTGAATTTGATATATCTGTATTTCTGTTGAAGGCCAAAAACAAAAACAAAGGAAAAATCTTTACTCATTATCTACCTACGCAGACGATTTGAAATTAAAAAGACGGACATACTTCGTACGTGGGCGGGCCACACATTTGATGTATATATATATATATATATATAAGCAACGATAAACCATTGCTAACGAAAAAACGATTTTGAGCGGAGTTTAGTCGATAATGTTGCTTTGTCAACAATATGGCATGTCATATTATGGTAAAATAATTACATAGGCATAAAACATTATGTATTTTCTTTAATAATATTGGTTTAATATTGTGTCTAGTTTCTCGTTTTTCCTATATATATATTCCTGGCTTTTCCCATTTATTGAAAAAAGTCATGGGAATATTCAAAAATGACCTCCCTAAAAAAAAACCTCCCCAGTCCGATTTCCTTGCAACAAATGTGATATCGTTGTAAATCGAAGGAACATTACTGGTAGAAAAGCTGTCAACAGGAAAAAAAAATTTAAAAAAACAACTTTATAATACCATTAGTTTCTTCGATTCACTAAGAATCTAAAATTCGAATTTTCTGAGAATCCGGATAGGTGCAAACCGAACTAATTACAATGACGTTATCAAAAAATGACATTAATTAAATTCATTAATAGATGTCAAAAAAAGATTCACTGAAAGAAGAAAATACCTTATTGAAGAATTTTGTTTATATTTGTAACGATTAATCATTGCTGATGAAAAATAATTCTGAGGGAAATTCGATTAAACGCGTTTTGAAATGCCATGATTTATTTATATGCCAAAAATCTATCCTTTTATCAATCTCACTTAGTCACTTATTTTATATCTTAAAACCTTACAAAACAATAAATAACCGAAAGGATACCATAATCAAATAACAAATACACCATAAATATGTAGGTATTGTATCTACTTCTAAAAAAAAAAAAAATAATAATTGTAATATGATCAGAAAATTGGTTGAAATGAGAGTTGAAATTTGAAACCTCAATAAGACTAATGCAATGAATATACACAATTTCATCCTGCCCCTAGTTTAAATTGGGGTTCTGTACAGGTGCATGAATCTTAAGTCACCCTGCTTTCACAATAATTTGCGGTTAAATTTGGTAAAATTGGTTAAATTCATATTGAAATTCAACCTATCACTATTATCTGTGTTATCGCACTTTAATCCTCCTGTAAAACAACTATAGATTTAATTCCCCAGTCGTTTATGAGAATAATAAGATTAAGTTGAGCTGGACATGTATGGAGATTAGGACTAATCAGGCAAACAACAAAACAGAAACCAAACACTAAAAAACCCATAAGACAACCTAGACAAAGATGAGTAGACAGAAAGATTTGAGATTTACGGCAGTAAGAAACACAGAAAAAGTTCTCAAAGAGAAAGTTAACGATTGGGCAGACCAAGAAGTTGCTCAAGCAATAGGTTAATATTTTATAAATAGCAATGTTTTACTAACAAAAAAACAATAATACACTAAATGATTATTATTAATTTTCAGGCATTTCATTAAAAAAAAACTTTATCATTATGATTTTCATTCTTTATAAAATAATGTACTTTGCACCATTAATATATTGAGCAACTAAAAAAGCTGAATTGGGAAATTCTGGTAACATAATTAATTGAGAGAGGTGGATTTCAGCTCTTATTCCATTTATGTTCTAAGAAGTAGGGGCTTGTTATTTATTAGCCTAGGGCGCTTTTACAGTAAACTCAGCCTTGGAAGCAGTCTGTTGTTTTGGCAATAGGCTCGAAGAAGAAGCTTCGGCAAAGAAGAATTCTCTTGGTAATTAGGTCCAGAGAAAATGCTAGAAATGTTGATAATCGTTAAGGATGAAAGATCAAAGCATACGTAATTTTAATTTTTTGGTTCAACAAAATACAATAATATTATTCTTATTGTAAACATTTACCTAAATTAGAAAAATACTTATAAAGGTTTTCTTCTTAAATTATAACTCTGTTTTTTAGGTACTTACTAAACTTCAAATATTACTGCGTGTCACTGATCTACAACGTAAATATTTCGCCGTTGAACACTCATTATTTCGGGATATAATTTTTATCAAAAAAATTTATTTAACAATTTAAGAAACAAGCAAACTTAAAATGTTAAACTTCCAATGTTTTTTATCAACCTCATTTTTGGGTGTGAAACAACTACCAACTTTAGTTTTTCAAATAGTAAGTTACATTAAAAGTTCCATGCATTGATAAAGTACTAGATAATCAAGTTTTCTTCTTTTAACGGTTTTCTAAAATATTATAATAAACGACTTGAAAATCAAAAAACAATTTTCTTCTTTAACCCCAGTGTGCCATAAATATTTGCCGGTTTCTGATAATTTTTTTTAAAAATTATTATGAAAACCCATTTGGAAGATCAAAAAAGTGAACTCCTAATGTACTAACTAGACAAAATTTACTTTCAGAAAAGTTGCTACACTTGATAAATTGTAGCAAGAATTTTGGAAAAATGTATTTCCCAGACAAAAGTAAAAATACAATATCATAGTAAAATCAATAGATCCCTCATTACGCTCCGAATCTAAAATTAAAGGATAAATAAAAACAGATACAATTTTAATGATTTCAATTGCACAAGAATGATACTGATTAAATCTGTTTTGCTTCTTATTACACAAAATAAGTTACATTTTGTTAAATTGATGGTAATATACGAAAACAAAATTATTGGCAAAATAGAAAATAAAAATGCAATTTCTTAAATGTGGAATTTTCAGTACTAAGGGTGAAATAAATAAAATGAAAAAAACAAAACAATCAAATATCAACAGTACAATTAATTCAAAATATACTATATTATATTACTTATATATTATGACAATATGGTTTTTCCTAACTAATAAACACACATTTTGGAATGTGTTGGAACAAAAAAAAAATATATATATATATATAAATAAAGTGTTATTGACAGATGTTTTTTTATCCTTAACCATAAGTCTGAAAAGAACAACACTTTCAATTTTTTTGATACAAGCACTAACAAAAGTCGAAAAAAACAACAATATTTCAAAAATTTACAACAACACAATAAACTCTACACACATTTTTTTATTGTTATAACAAAAATGTTTTGTGCGGTTTTAAAAATTTAATTTTGTTAAATTTATGTATAAAAAATAATTAAATAACTTCCAAACCTATTACACAATAAGCCTAAATGTTTGTCTTAAATGCTTTAATCAGATATCAACATTTACTTAGATATAAGGGATGAAGAAATAATCTGCGCTATAGAACTGGCAGATTCACCTTTCACTATTTGCCTATGGTCTCCTGATACGGAATGAATATTTAGAGTACCTATGCAAATCTACAAAAAAAAAAAAAAAAAAAAAAAAAAAAAAAATGAATAATAATTATTATTTTACAAAATAAATATAAATATCTTACAGGTTTCAGTCCATAGTCGGGTCCTAGTGAAACAAAGTTGTCTTTGGCTGTAACTAATGTGACATTTCCCTTGAATTTCTGTAGGGGTTTGTAATAGAAAGAAACAAACAGCTTGCCATGGAACAACTTAGCTGCTGTTTTCAGTTCGTCTTTGTTTAAGGGTAAATCAGATAATAAATTAACTGCTACTTCGAGTTGTTCTTCTTTAGTATTCTTTTTCGCAATTTCATCGAAAACCTAATTATAAATAAATTAGGGTCAGAAAAAAAATTGCAATTTTTCTATTTAATTCTAATTAATTTACCACTTGGTAGTCCAATTCTTTGAAAAGTAATACAAAGTATGCAAAGGCATCTTTGTCATCTACTTTATTATCAGAATGACGGTTTTTAAATGCATTTTGATGAGTTAATACATAAGATGGGGAACCATCTAACAACACGAGACTAACTTTCTCGTCAGCAGCCTCTAACACTACACCAGTTTCAAAAGCAACCGATGCACCAAAAGAATATCCTACAAGGTTGTATGGTCCAGATTTTTGAATTTCTTTAATTTTCTGAACATCCATTAAATTAAATATTAGATACAATTATTTAATATTCTATAATGAATGTGATATTAACTTACAGCTGCAAAGAATTTAGCCATAGACACCATAGAATCAGTGGGAGCATCTTCGGTACATTGAAGACCGTAAATATTATATGGTAATTTGGATGCTACTTCTTCTAGCGCAGTTACAAAACCTTCAATTGCACTAAACATAAATACATTAGGTTTGCTGTTATCTGCTTTTTTCATACTAATAACCGTTTGTTGAGGAACTAAATTTTGACTGAATTCAACCTAAGAAAGAAAACATTATTAGTTTTATATGTTGCAATAAATAATTGAAAAACTACAATATTTTACAAACCTGATCATTTCCAGCAGTCACTCCATTAGTAGTGGCATCTGCAGGAGTATCACTAGGAACTTCACCACTATCGCTTTGCAATTCCTGTAACCTCTTAACAGTCAAAGTTCTGATTTCTCCAACGCTCAATACCAAATCGTAGTTCCTTTCAAGTGTTTGTTTGATTTCAGCTCCCATCAAAGAGTCCATACCAAGGTCTGCCAAAGTTGCTGATGCATTAATGTTCTTGGTGTCCTTGATACCGAGAATATTAGCAACAGCATTAATTAGACTAACTTGTCCGGCACCACCAGAGCCACCCTTCCTCTTCTCGGCCAAAACCATTGAAGCCAAAACAGGTTGAGGATGTTGCAAAAATATGTCAAATGCACTCAAACATGAAGCCATACGTTGTGGCAATGTGCCACCGACAACTGTTTCATTTCCGCCCATAGTATCCATTATAAGACCGACATCTCCGATAGCACCCCATTGAATAGCCAACTATAAATAATAATGAAATAGAATTTTAGTTACACAAAAATATTATGGATCATGAGTAACTTACACCTGGGAGTCCAGCTTCTTGTCTTGCCTCACAAATTCGCTCCATTACAGAATTGGCAAATCCATAATTGGTTTGTCCAGCATTTCCACGTCCACAAGATACAGATGAGAATACAACAAAGTGATCGAGAGCGGGGCAGGATTTTCTGGTAATTGTATCCAAATTCTTAGTTCCTGTAACTTTAGGTTTGCTGACGGTTTCAAAATCTTGTGGGGTTTGATTTTCTAAGAATGCATCTCTCAATACCTAAAAATATATATAATACATTCTTATTGACAATAAATAATAATAGAAAAATACTCATACAAACTGAATAGTCTGAAACACCATATTAATAATGTGTTATAATTAGTCATAAAGTGATAGTTAAAAGTTTAGGTTTTAGAATTAAACATTATATTTCTACCTACTAAAATACAATTTTTTTATTTTTAATAGTTACTTTATATAATATGAAATATATATATATCAATTTAATTTCAAAGAGAATCAACAAATATAAAATACTTACAGCTGCCAAGTTGAAAACACCTCCAACAGGTCCTAATTTATTACTGTCATCAATCAATTGTTGAGCTCCATTCAAAGTTGAACAATCAGCCTTCGAGATCAATACATTAACTCCAGCTTCCTTCCAATTGCCAACACACGATGCTTGGTAACCAGTTGTTATTCCACTTCGAGCAGTCAACACCAGTTTCTTTGCCCCTCTAACAACTAGCCAATTTGCTAATTCTAAACCAAATCCTCCAAGACCTCCAACAAGTACATAGGTCTTGTCTGGGTTCATGTATGATCGTGGAATAGAAGTAACTAGTTTTGTGGCAGGTTTAATAACAGCACTCGATTCTTCATCCCTGATTTTCAATACTACTTTTCCTATATGTTTACCGGATCCAATAAATCTGAATGCTTGTTCTACTTGAGATTCGGAGTATACTGTGGCTGGAAGGGGGTTAACAGCTCCATTTTTAATACCATCATTGAGCAACCTAACCACTTCTTTCTTGTCTTCATTTTCAGATTTAGCGTCAAACAACGAATCTAGTAGAATTCCGTGGAATGTTGTGTTCTTCAAGAAAACAGACATTCCCAAGGGACTGTTGTTGGACAAATCGAGTTTACCAATTTCAAGGAAACGACCATCCTTGGCCAAACAACGTACAGATGCTTGCAATTTATCTTCAGACAATGAGTTCAAAACTAAATCAACACCACGTCCTTTGGTTTCCCTTAATACATGTTGTTCAAAACTAGTATCACGAGAGTTGGCAATATTTTTGTCCGTTAGCTAAAATCCAGGAATATTTTATTAATATTAACAAATAAAAATAATAAACATACCACATAATAAATTTAAAAAAGATACCTTGGGGAAAGTCTTTTTTAAGAATTCTCTCTTATTTTTGCTACCAACTGTAG